CCCTACCCGGTTTGTCGAGCAAAATTAAGTTGGCTTCTTTCACGTGGTCGGAAACGTCGCCTCTCGGAAGCACGCGGTGTAGAGCGCCGAGAGACGCGCACACAGCACCCCGGCGGACTTGCCGAGTATGCGGTAATGCACGCCGTTCGGGTCCGGACCCGAGCGCCTCTTTCGAGGCAGCGTCGAGGAGAAGGCGAACCTTCCCCTCCGTCAATGCGGCGTCGCGATTCACGTCGTAAGGGAAATCCGCCGTGAGAAATGCGAACGGATCGACGCGAGGGAAGAGTTCTGCGATCACTTCAGCAAGAAACTCCTCCGTCATGCCGGCCGTCAGCAATCCCGACGAACCCCTCAGTTTGTTAGTCACGAGACGGAACGGGAGACCCCGCGGATCCGAATCCGCTTCGCTCAGAAGTTCCTTCCAACATGCCTCCTTGGAACTCCATATCGCTCGCCGGACCCGAACTCGCGAAGCCCTCCACTCCGCCTTTAAACTCGCAAGTTCGTCGTCGTTCACGATTTCCTCGTAGCGTCCTCCCCGTTTGATCAAATGTCTTTTTCTGCCGACGAACCGGCGACGTGCGAGGCAGGACTCTTTCCACAATTCTCCTATCTCGTCCGACCACCAGTACTTCAGCCGTTTCCGCGTTTTCGAGCGCGAGCCTAACCTCTTCATGCAGGAATCCGAGACCCGTCGTAAGTCGTCCCGAACCCCCCGCGCCATATTGTGCACGCTTCTTCTTCTTGCTGCGCCTGGAGCGACGTCGTTTCTCCAGGTCTCCGCGGCGAGACACTCGGTGAGCCATTCGTCGTCGAACGATCTCAGGCTCCGCCGGGGCGAGACGACGCGGAGCCCGTCGGACGAGGAGGCTGCCCCCCCCCCCGAGCTCCGAGGATCCCCGAACGAGAATGCACGTAGGCGTACAATAAATCTTCAGGAAAAATTATTTGCTTCGATCGATCGAATTACAATGGCATGGCTCCCAGTGCTCCCACGATGACCGGAATAGTTTCTGTTTTTGTTCCCCACATCCTGGGTATTTCAGCCTTCTGCTGAACTTCAATCAGCTTCCCGTTTATGCTTTTCAGGATGATATCTGGTTTGTTGGCTGGCGCAGTTGTCAGTGTGGATTTGTTGATCATACAGAACTGTGCATGGTCCTACTTTTTTTTTTTTTTTTTTTTTTTTTTTTTGATATCTCAGGAGAAATGCAGATTACGCACAACCCCTCCTTTTACAGAGGGAGTGTGGGGCTCGGTATGGAATTCGAAAAGAAGGCCTAACCGGGAACCATACCCACTAAAACTCCTGAGCAAGTCGCAATAGCGTAGGGGGGGGACGTTCGTTGGGGTAGTACCTACAATTCATTCAGTCCCCTCTCCGGGAAGCCAGAACGTTACCGTTCTACATGATTACTTTGGTGGGAGATTCGCCCTAGTCTCCGTTCCGCAGTCATCTCGAAGACGAGAACGCATTTCCCAGGACGTTCGGCAAGTCCCTTTCGGGAGTGTCCTCCGGTCCTTCGCTGGGGGAAAGGGATGGGATCGCCTGTTTCCTGAGGATGCGATCGGGGGGGGGATAAAAAGTCTTACCTTCGACTCCTGAAAAGGGCAAAGCTAAAAGTTAAGTGTTAGTTGATCGCATCCTCTAATACTACTAAGGTTTATCGGGATCGTAAGGAAAAGACAGACGAGGGATCGTCCGGGATCGACGAACCCCCAAGAAATGTTAGAAGTAAGAAAAATAATTTGACTTACCACTAAGTTCGTCGCCGTACTCCACGGTTTGTTCAGGCGTTGATGGTTTCTTCTTCACCGCCGCTGCCACCGTTGTTTCCCTTCTTTTTTCTTCTTCTTCCCTGGAGCGCGCGACGCCAAACTCCTGTTTTTTCTCGTTCGCGTTCGCGGCCCTCTTTCGTCCGTAGGACCGCTTCCGAAAATCGCGAGATCGCGGACCATTCCCGAGGTCCGCGGAGCAACCCGTTCACTAAGCCGCGTATCGACAAGTCGGGTCCGATGACCTCGACCAGCCGCTGCCTATGGACGTCCCACGTGGGACATGTCGCAACTGTGTATTCGACGTCGTCCTCGGCCGCACCGCAGAATCAACACTCCGCCGTCTCCGACTAACGAGTTTACGACTATGTGGGAGTTTAATGGGCGACAATGGGTGTCGGGGGGGCGAAAGTAGGAGTTTAGTGGGCGAAAGTGGGTGTCGAGGGGGCGAATGTGGGAGTTTAGTGGGCGAATGTGGGTGTCGATGGGGCGAAAGTGGGAGTTTAGTGGGCGAATGTGGGAGTTTAGTGGGCGAATGTGGGAGTTTAGTGGGCGAAAGTGGGTGTCGAGGGGGCGAAAGTGGGAGTTTAGTGGGCGAATGTGGGAGTTTAGTGGGCGAATGTGGGAGTTTAATGGGCGAAAGTGGGTGTCGAGGGGGCGAATGTGGGAGTTTAGTGGGCGAATGTGGGAGTTAAATGGGCGAAAGTGGGAGTGTAGGTGGCGGTAGTGGGTGTCGATGGGGCGAAAGTGGGAGTTTAATGGGCGAAAGTAGGTGTCGAGGGGGCGAATGTGGGAGTTTTGTGGGCGAAAGTGGGAGTTTAGTGGGCGATAAGGGGAGTTTAATGGGCGAAAGTGGGAGTTTAGGCCGATACCGACTCGGCCTAAATCGTACAGGGCCATGGAGTGAACGACCGTCGCGTATAATCGCCTGACCCTGACCTGCGGTCTGCGCAGGTTCGGTATCAGGCGTCCTAACGTCGCGCTAACGGCTCGGATCTTCGATTCGAGGTGCGCCAGATGTTCCCCGTAGTGAAGGCCGGAATCGACAACTAAACCCAAGTATTTCAGCGAGCCACCCAGTCCGATTCTTACGTTGTTCACGGTAACGAGGACACGGGTTTCGCGGACGATGAAACCCGCAAGCTTCCGTCTTCGGCAGAGACACCCGGAGACCGGTGTCCCGGATGGCCTCCACCGTCGCGTTAAGTCCCGTTTCGGCGCGTTCGCGAACCTCTGCCCACCCGCGACCGGTCGCGAGGAGCAGAGTGTCGTCGGCGTAGCAAGTCAACGATACGCCTTCGAAGAGAACGGTTCGGGTGAGGACGCGGTCGTAGGCGATGTTCCACAGGAGTGGTCCTAGGACCGATCCCTGAGGCACGCCGCAGAACACATCCGCCCTTCCCGTCGATCCGTCCGGTTTCTCGTACGCGATCTTCCTCTCCGAGAGGAAGAACCCTATCACCGACACGAGATAATCTGGCACGGACTTCGACGTAAGCCCGTCCCTTATCGCGGACCAAGGTACCGTGTTGAACGCGTTTTTGATGTCGATGGAGACGACGATCGCGACGCCGCCCCGGTGAAGCGTGTCCCGGATACCGGCGCACACGCGGACGAGTGCGTCGGTCGTCGAACGGCCACCCGGAAGCCGTACTGATTCGGAGAGAGGTCGTTCCTCCCTCACCCTGATCGTAAGTGTTCGTCGATCCGGGACGCTATCACGCGCTCAAACAACTTGCCCTCCACGTCGAGAAGACAAATCGGCCGGTACGCGCTCGGCGTCGTCGGATCCCTACTCGGTTTGTCCAGCAGTACCAAGTTTGCTTCTTTCCACGGCGTCGGAAACGTCGCCTCTCGGAAACACGTGGTGTAGAGCGCACACAGCACCCCGGTAGACTTGCCGAGAGTGCGGTAATGCACGCCGTTCGGGTCCGGAGCCGAGCGTCTCTTCGAGGTCGCGTCGAGAAGAAAGCGAACCTCCCCCTCCGTCACTTCGGTGTCGCGGTCGCGGTTCGCGTCGTGCGAGAGATCCGGCGGGGGAAACGCGAACGGCTCGACGCGAGGGAAGAGCTCTGCGATCACTTCCGCGAGAAACTCCTCCGTCATGCCGGCCGTCAGCGGTCCCGACGAATCTCTCAGTTTGTTGGTCACGAGACGGAACGGGAGACCCCACGGATCCGAATCCGCTTCGCTCAAGAGTTCTTTCCAGCACGTCTCCTTAGAACTCCATATCGCTCGTCGGGCCCGGATCCGGGTAGCCCTCCACTCCGCCTTAAAACGCGCGAGCTCGTCGTTGTTCGCGATGTCCTCGTAGCGTCCTCCCTGTTTGATCAGTTGCCTTTTTTTGCCGACGAACCGGCAACGTGGGAGACAGGACTCCTTCCACAATTCTCCTATCTCGTCCGTCCACCAGTACTTCGGCCGTTTCCGAGTCGTCGAGCGCGAGCCGATTCTCTTCACGCAGGAGTCCGAGATCCGTCTTAAGTCGTCCCGAACTCTCCACGCCATTCGTGTGCATTTCGCCTTGTCGGGCCGCGAGACACTTGGCGAGCCGTTCGTTGTCGAACGACCTCAGACTCCACCGGGGCGAGGACTCCTCCGGTGAGGAGGCTGCCCCCCCCCGAGCTCCGAGGATCCCCGAACGAGAACGCCACGTAGGCGTGATTGCTGAGGGACTCGAAGTTGGAAAGGACCTCCCAGTCGGAGACCCGCGTCGCCACACGATGAAACCACTGTCTTAACAATCGGCCGCGCGCTTTAGTCGCGTAACCTGACCACGATGTGTGTTTCGCGTTGAAGTCCCTGGACACCAGAATCGGACGCGAGTTTCCGAACGTGTCCACCTTCCTCGAAATCGCCCTTAGCTGATCTTCAAATACACGTAATGGACGATTTGGCGACGCGTATACCGATACCAGGACCGAGTTTCCCCAGCCTGCGATAACGAAGTCGACCCCACGGGACAATTCTTGAGGTCTCGGACCCAGCGCCGAGCTCGAGAAGAAGATCGCGGCCTCGGATACGAACCAAGTGCCGGCGCCACAACCCTCTCCCCCCGACGGAACGACGTGGGGCTCCGAGATCATCGCGATCTCGACGCCTCACGTCCCTATCAAGTTAAGCAAGAGATCCTGTGCCCCTTTGCACCTATTCAGATTTATTTGGAGAAACCTCCCCATGCTCACAGAGAACTACCGGCGGAGCCGTTCGTTCCCGGCTGACACGCGGAGGCTGCCCCCTAACGTTTCCCCCCGTGTTCCTGGTATCGGATCCCTACCGAATGGGCCTACCCCTGACGGCCGGCGCCCCGCACGAAGACCCACCGAGCCGGTGTTGAGCCAGCCGGCCCGCCTCCAAACAGGGAGCGCAGCGGATTTCGTTTGCGCATTCTCGCGCCCGGTGCCCCTCCTCACCGCACCTGAAGCAGCGGTCCAGCGCCGTTTCTCGCCTTTCCCTGACATTGGGACAACGCGAGCCTACATGTCCCGGATGTAGGCACGTGACGCAGATGGTCCTGCGTTTCGGCAGCAGGACCGTCCTTGCACGCACCCACCCGACGACAACCGCGCCCGCCTCCAAGAGTACGGACGCGGTGCATGGACCTACTGCCGTAACCGGGCTTGGAATGTGGTTGTACCACTCCTTGGGTAATCCATCCATTCCATATTCTCGGCATATCCTCCAATGGAGATATTGACAAATTTTATTATCCCTTTCTAAGTATTCATGTTTTGCCAGTATCGGACAACCGGAAATTAAATGGTCGATGGTTTCCGATTGGGATTGGCAAATTCGGCACTTGTCATCTTGGCGGACTTTGAGAATTACTTTCTCATAGTTATGGGTCCAAAATGCCTCGATCGCGATCGTCGACAAAAATAAACAAATTAAAAAAAAAAAAAATCAAAACCATACTAATATAATAATAATAAAAACCATAGAGTGTATAATCATCATCGAAACGTTTATAAACTCTATGATCTAACGACTTTTCTTTAACTAATGGATTATTAGTTTATGAATTTAATTTGAATTTTTTTTTTTTTTATTAAAACATTATTTTTAATAACTTCATAAAAATAATCGTTACGACGATGATAATGATAATGATGATGATGATAATGATGATGATGATGATAATAATGATGATGATGATGATGATTAAATTAACATCGGTTATTTAAAAGACAAAGACAAAGAGAGAGAGAGAGAGAGAGAGAGAAGGGGAACAACTATTAAAATTTTATTTATCTAACTTTTGTAACGTTTTTCTCTTTCGTTCTCCCTCCCCTCCTTCCCCACTATTATCATCATCATTATTATTAATGTTAAAGGCATTAAGTAGTAGTGGAAGTAGTGGTAGTAATACTTTCTCTTAAGTAATAATTACTTTTAATATTTTTTTTTTTTAAGTACCAATAACAATATAATTAAAGTAGGTCAATTCACCTGGTGGTGCGAAGTGTGTCGCACGCACGTACGAACTCACGCACGCACTTACGCACGCACGAGCGTAAATATTATTAAACATATATGAATCGTTAACGTTTTTATGTATTTTTTAGATGGTGACTACTGCAAACGAAGCATCGAAACTGCCGGATTATACGTCAGGGGCGGATATTATAATGAATCATCAATTAAAAACCCTCGTTTAATTATAATTACATTATTATTATTATTATCGACGACAAATATTATACATAAGTTTATTATTTAATAGTTTTTTTATTTAAGATTAAGACTTAAATTTTTTTTTACTACTACTATTACTATTATTATTTCATAAAAAAAATAAATAAATTTTTTTTTTTTTGTATTAATTCAGTTGGCAACACTTTTTTTTTTGAAACATCCATGTATATCCCACGAATCCCCATCCTAGATCGGCGAACGTTTTCCTCATTTTTTTCAGGTTTGCCTGTACTCTCCTACGTCATCGATTTGATGTTCATATTTTTTATTATTATTATATAAATTTTGCTGTCGACCTTGGATTTTTTTATGTGGGAAAATGGCCGGCGTTAAAATCCACGAAAGAGGAAATTCTGATAGCTTATATAGAGTAAAAATGTTTCATTTCCGTCACAAATATTAATTTCTTATCAAACAAAAAAAAAAAAAAATTATTTAATTGTTATCAGTATTTTATTTATTTTGTAATCCATGACAATCCCTTACGTAATGCGACGCGTTTTCATATTTATTTATTAATTAATCGATTTTGCCCCCTCCTCCCCCCGCTTTTATTTAAAATCATTTTACGGGATATTAAATTACTTATTACGACAGCGATGATGATGATGATAATAATTTTAAATACTCTTTGTTTAAAAATTAATTTTTGAATGCTAAATCGAAACTGACTGGAAAGTTCTGGATCGTCCAATGGTATGGGGAAAAAATTTACGAATGAAATTATTCCAAAGGGATGATGGAAAATATTACGTCATGAAAATTACGTCACTCTCAAAACGTCATCTCGGATTTTTTCAAAAAAAAAAAAAGGTTTAATTTTTATTTAAGCCCTCTTTAAACTTTCACGAAACCGTTTTAGTCCAATTGTAAAAAATAACCTCCTCGTATCAAATCAAAAATGATAATGATAATAATAACGATGATGATGATGATGACGATGACGATGATGATAATGATGATGATGATGATGGTGATGATAACATTAAAACGCCTCGTGTAACGTACGAACGTACGAACGAACGAACGAACGGATTTTGGGTAATTTATTAATAATTATTTATTAACAGTAATCGTAATAATAATAATATTATTTATTCAAATAACCATTGTTTTTTTATTTATATACTAAGACCATTTACATAATTCGTTCGAACGTAATAATAATAATAATAATAATAAATTTCTACACATATATATTATTTATACAGCGTCAAAAAAAAAATGTTGTTGTTGTTGTTGTTTACTACCATTAGCCTAGTTATTTGCTTTTATTGTTTTTATTCTTTGTTAACTATATCTACCTCTCTCTCTCTCTCTCTCTCTCTCTTTTCTTATTAATATTTTTTTATTGAACGAAATGATATTTAAAAGAAAATTGAAAAAGAAAAAAAAATGTATTAGTATTTGTTTTTAGGACATGAAAAAAAAAAATAAAAAAAAGATTTTAAAACTTAAATAGCAAGAGTAGCAGCAGTAGTAGTAATAATAGTAGTAATAATAATAATAATAATAATAATAATAATAATAATAATAGTTAAAAATGCGTAGGACAGGAAATTTAGAAATAAGATGAAATATACAATTAGTAATAAGCGCAATTCAGATCCCAGACATTAGAAATAAATGCATCACTATAGAGCATTATTATGTAAAAACTAATAAATGTTGCTCAAAATTTTTTTTTTTTTTCCTTTTTCCTTTTACAATAATAACAAAATCAATTAATAACATTTTTATATTTCAACAGGTTAAAAGTCAAAAATATAACGATAACGGGGAGATAAGGGGAGAAGGGGAGAAAGGGAGGACTGGGAATTTTTTTTCCATTAAAAGAAATCCGATAAGTTAATCGTAATGATAAGAATGATAAGAAAAGGTGAATTAAATGGACAAATGTTTTATTATTAACCGTTAAAAAAAATTTTACACGCACGCACACACACACACACACAACAAACGATTGTCGAAACTGCTTAACAATGTTACACTCATTTTATACGTAACGAATAATGTTCTAGAACAAAATCAAACAGGCCGATATACAGGCCGCTGTTGGTTGGCGTAATAAAAAAAAAAAATTAAATAAACTGACCCTAAAAAAAAAAAAAAAACTTTTTTGTTTTCTGTTGGATTTCGAGTAATACAGAGAACTCTAAATTGACTCCTTTTGTGTTTGTGTTTGTTGTCGGTTGTCGTTTGTCGTTTATTTTTATTTAATTAATCGTTACCGTAAAAATAGAAAAAAATTTAGAAATTAAACTTTTTGTTTTGTTTGTTTTTTTCCTCAACGTTCGAAACGACTCGCGATGTGAAAATATTATTATTATTATTATTTTTATTAATTAATTATAATATTGAAATGAAAAAGAAAAAAAATGTCATGTAATAATAATAATAATAATACTAATGAAATTTCGTTAAAAAAATTAAAAATTTTTTTTATTAATAATTTTTTTACACGTTTTGTGATGTTTTTATCATTATCATCATTATCATCGACTGGAGTTAAAAGTGTTGAATTGAATCCGAATGGAGAAAATGTTTGTTTGAGAACGGAAACGTGAGAGAAAACCTCATTATTATTATTATTATTAATTAATCGTGCATAAAAGTCTCGTAAATTATTATTAAAAAAAAAATTTATGCGTTCGTTTAATCATTATTATTATTATTATTATTATTTTTCCAGTTATAAACAGCCGGTTTCTTTTTACAAGGACGTTTACGTACCGGAAGTTGAATATAAATGGTGTTGGGATGCAAGTTTACATTTTAGATGCCCCGTATCGAAAATGGTTAAGAAAAAAATTGAAGAAAAAAAAGTTAATGGGATTTTAAATTTGTTTAATCCCGTTTGTTTGTTTGTTCGGTTGTTTATAACTTTTTTTTTGTTTTATCGTAGATCATACAGAGGACGAGATTGGTTCTGGAATGTTGTGCCGGATATAAAATAGATCCAAACGATCGTACGAAATGTAAACCATATTGTAAAAAATTATGCATGTATGGAAAATGCATCGAACCGGATGTTTGTTCTTGTAATTATGGATATTATGGAATAACATGCGATAAAGGTTTGTTTGTTTGTTTGTTTGTTAAGGTATACGCGTCACGATGAGGAGTAAAAAACTTTTCTTTTTTTTTTCCGGTTAAAAAGAATGCGAAAGTGGTTGGTGGGGTCAAAATTGTAAAGAAAAATGCGATTGTGAAAATGGCGCCAAATGTGAAGCATTTTATGGTAAATGTTTTTGTCAAAATGGCTGGCAAGGAAACAGGTGAGAATAAATTAAAATTATTATTATTTTAAAAAAATATTTTTTATAAAAAACGAATTTTTTTTAGATGTCAATTTCCATGTTCGGATGGTTTTTTCGGTTTTCATTGCATTGAAAAATGTAATTGTCCAAATGGATTATGTCATCACGTGACTGGAACTTGTTTGTCAACGACGACGACAACGACGGAAACAGAAACGAATGACGTCACAATTAATACAGCAGAAGACGAAAGGAATTTTTTAAAAAAAACGATCTCAAAACTCGATGCAAACGTTTATAATTACGAAAAGACAAATAATTTTTTATTAATACCAGATGAAACGAAAACGGAAACGGAAATAACAACAACAACAACCGGAAAAATGGAAAAAATTAATAGTTTAATTAATTTTACTGTTTATGATTATCCAGTCGATTATTCGTCATCGACAAGTTATCAGTTTAAAAATGACGAATCCGAAACAGAATTTCGGTTAAATGTCAAGGATGACGTCACAATTACAAACGCATCGGAAACGAATTCGGATGAGAAATTATCATCGACTTCCGTTTCAACTGATAATACGATCTTATTAGAAGGAAGTACGGAAAGTTTTTCTTCTTATTCGAATAAAGAAAATGAAACGACAACCGAAGAAGAATTTGTAGAATCCACGACCGAATACGACGAACAATCAACTGAAGAAACGATAGAAACAACAAACGTACAACCAGAAGAATCAACCACGGAAATATATTTTGAAAATTCAACGACGAGTCAAACAACAAACGCGACGACGATTGTCGACGATGATGTTGTAACCACGATGAAACCTTTCGTACAAACGAGTGGGAAAGATCTTGTCGAAAGCAAAACGAATGATGAAAAACAAACAACAACAGAGAGTACAGAACAAACGACAACGTCGAATATGTTTTCGACAAACTTTGTACAAACGGATGAAACAGATGTTATCGGAAACAAAACGATCGATGAGAAACAAACAACAGAAAGTATAGAACAAACGACAACGTCGAATATGTTTAACGGATTTACACGTGAATCATTTTCAAAAAATTTAACGACAAACAATTTACAACCGAAACAAAACAACAATCAAACAACAACCGGTAATAAAACAAACGATATATCAAATAATAAAAATATAACGACGAAACAAAATGGCGGAGCAAAAGAAGAAGCAGAAGAAGAAGAAGAAGAAGAAGGAGGAAACACGATGATAAAAAATTTTGGCGCCATTTTTAGATTCATACCTAGTTTATCAGTTTTATCAGGTATATCGATATTAATAATAATTATCGGTGTCAGGTGGTTGATGCTCGATCACAAAAGAAAACTAAAAAAAATGTCGGTAAAGAAAAACGAAGAAATTTTCAATTTGCAAAAATATCGGGAAAGTTTATTTGTCGGTACGTATATTATCATTATTATTCATTTTTTTTTTGTTCTCCTTGACCGTGAATTTGATAAGAATGAGCAAACGTTTGTTTATCTCGTATTGTCGCATCCGTTTGTTTGTTTGTTTCAGTTAATAACCAATGTAAAAATTCAATGTATTTATACGAAATGAAATTACAAGAGGATGTTCCTGTTTTGCAAACGTTTAAACCATTTCCGGAAAAAATTTTTTGAAGAATTTTAAAGGTATATCATCCGTTCTACAAACGACAAACAACAATCGTCATCATCATTATTACGACAACGATTCTCTCATTCAATTATCGTTTTTAATTTTTCTTAATTTTTGCACAAGGAATAAAAGATCTTTAACGCCTACGACAATCCTTGATTGTTTTGGTGATAATAATAATAATAATAATAACAACGAGCAACAACAAGGACAAACGCAATTAAGTCGGATTATTTCGTAACGTTTTACAATTATTGTAAAAGAAAAAAGTGAGGACGTTGACGGACCGTAAAAGACAAAAAAAAAAAAAAAAATTAAACGATAATGATAATAATAATAATTTATTTAATTAAAAAAAAATTTGTATACAAAATTTATTTTTTAATAATAATAAAACAAACAAACAAACAAACGACGACAACATACGTACCTCTTCCTCCTCTATTTCCTGTTGTTGTTCTTCCTCCCCTTTCATTCCTGTAAAAATTCGCTTCCGACGAAACGGATTTATTTATAACTTTTAATTATTATTATTATCATTATCATTATCATTATTACGAGTACCTGTAAAATTATGACAAATGAATGTTGTTTTCAAAATAATTTTTCACGTTTGAAATCACCACCGGGATGCTGTTATTTCATTTTTTCTTATAACAAAACAAAGTCCACCATTACACCTCAACAACCCGCCATTTTCCGCAACCCATTCCATTATTATCATTATCACTACCACTACCACCACAATCATCATCATCATCACTATTATTATTCGGGGAAAAAGGAAACTTTTAAGGAAAAAAAAAAAAAATTTGATTTTTTAAACGTTTTATTATATTTCGGACACACAATGTAATATATCAAACAAACAAAAAAACAAACAAATCCCACACTTTTTTAATCATCGAAAAAATAATAATAATAATAAAAAAGCAAGCAAACAAACAAACAAATAAACAAATAAACAATCTTAAAATCAAATCTTCTCTCGCTCTTTTATCAATCATTATTTAAACCTACCAAAAAAAAAACTCATCATCCCCCCGTAAAATCCAAAAATTTTCCCTCCCCCGCCCCCTCAACCCTCTCCCCCCACTCTACGTTTACATATCTCGAATCATTTACAGGATTTCAATCGAAAAAAAAAAAAAAAATTTAATCACAATATATATAGGAACACGTTTTAAAGTTTATTTATAAATAAAAAAAAACTTTTTTCGCAACAGCGAAACTAAAACTACAGGAAAACAAAAAAAAGAAAATCTTTGGAAAAAATTACAATAGTAACTAAACAAAAAATACTTTTCGGTTTGTTTTTTTTTTTTTTTTTTTTTTTCTATAAATTGGTAAAATCATTTTCAATGCCGAACACCAACAACAACAAACGACAACAACCATCATTTATAAAAAAAAAAAAAAACATGCTTAATTAACATTAATAATAATAATACTTTCGTTAAATTCAAAAAAAATAATAAAATACGTTATAAATAATAATAATACATTAATAAATAATATAAATAAATAAATAAAGATGGTGCAACCTAATTATTAAATTAATAATAATATTCAAAAATAATGTTAACTAATACTGTTATTATTATTGATTATTTTTTATTAATGATCGATCGATCAATAAAATCGATCGATAATAAAAAAAAAAATATCATTCGTTACCGTGAGATTCGTTTAATTATAAACCCAAAGAGGATCCCCCATGCTTGGAAAATGAGGAGGGATATGAAGGATGTCGGGGATGTACAAAGAAACAAAAAAAAAAAGAAACACCGGGACGATCGACGTGACATTTTCGGAAGGAAAGGGAAGGGGGAGGGGAAAGGCGTGACCCTTTATCCGTTACTGCAAGACAACAACACGTGCTACATATGATATTATTTTAAACTTTTTTTTTTCCCCCTCCATTTTTCCGTTACAACAACCCCAGAAAACCTTTTCCTTGTTCTGATACGTACACGACACGCATGTTGTTTGTAAATCCGGATCCCTGTCTCCATCCGGTTATTACTATGACCGGATCTCCGGGAAGTATGAATCCCTGTCTTTGTCCGAATTGTAATCCGGATTGAACTCTTGCGTCAACGTCTCTCAACCAATCCGGAAGTGGATCAACTAAATATAAATAAAAAATCATCATCAATTTATTATTATTATTATTATTACTTCTCTTGTCCCTGTCCTTTGACAAAAAGATACCAACCCGTGTAGTGTATGGGTAAAACTCCGCGGTGCAAATGACACTGCCTTGCTATTTGAGCATTTCTCGTGACGGCTATTATCGGACAAGGTGGCCGATATTTAGCGATTAAATGAGCGGATTTGCCAGAGGTTGTTATCACGACAATGGCGGCCGCATTACAATTAATTGCGGCTTCGACGGTTGCTATGGCGACCGCGTGACCGGCATCGACCGGAACTTTAATAGCGGTACTTAAATCTATGAAAAGTTGTTTGTGCGAAACGGCAGCCTCGGCTTCTTTGCAAATATTTGCCATTGTTAAAACGCACTGAAGCGGATAATCTCCTTTGGCAGTTTCACCTGAAAGCATGACACAGTCGGCTCCGTCTAAAATAGCATTTGCCACGTCTGACGTTTCCGCACGTGTCGGACGGGGTTTTTTAACCATGGATTCCAACATTTGTGTCGCACATATAACGGGTTTCCCAAGCTTGTTGCAACGTGCTATCATTGATTTTTGCGCGAGGAAAACTTTTTCCGGTGGTATCTCTATACCCAAATCTCCTCTCGCGACCATGATGCCATCACTTGCGTCAATGATTTCATCTAATTTAACCCAACCCTGATGATTTTCTATTTTCGAAATGACTAATATCGATTTTCCAGCTTCGCCTACGGTTAGAAAAAAATTTTTTTTTTCTTTTTAATCATACAAAAAGACCGGAAATGAATTTCAAATTCCCTTCGAATCATCATACCCAAAACGTTTCTAATTTCGGTAAGTGCTGTTGCATCACGTATAAAAGAAGCAAATATCATATCGACTCCTTGTTCTACGCCAAATTTTAAATCGGCCTTGTCCTTTTCAGACACAGCTGGTAAATCGACAGGAATTCCAGGAAGGTTTACACCTTTCCTGCTTCCCAACATTCCACCATTTTCAACCAAGCAAACCAGTGATTTATCCTCTTAAATAAAAACAAAAAAAAATCCATTACTACAAAAGTAACAATAAGTATGAAAATAATAATAATAATAATAATAAAATTTACCTTTTTTCTGAACAATCAATGAAATAAGGCCATCATCAACGAAAACTTTGTCACCTAAGTTAACAACCTGAGTTATATTATTATAATCGACATAAATCATTTTTTCATTTCCTATATCCTGATATTGCTTATCTGTTGTTAATATTATTTCATCTCCAGTTTTTAATGCAATTTCAGCTGAACCTCCCTAAAATTATATTGACATACAAATCAAAAAAATTTTAATTAAATAATAAATATTAATTTATTTTTCTCTTCGAATAAAATACATACTCCTTCTAAAAGTCCAGTTCTGATTTCTGGTCCCTTTGTGTCTAATGCGATGGCCAAAGGATGATTCAATCCTAATTTTTTACTATAACTTTCGACAGCTTTTCTTATATTTTTAATTGTTTCCGCATGATATTCATGACTACCATGACTAAAATTAAGTCTAGCAATATTCATGCCTGTTTCCATCATTTTTTCTAATATTTCTGGATCTCTTGAAGCAGGACCTGGAGAAGAAAAAAAAAAAAAAAAAAAAAATTTAACATTTTGTAGGAAAAACACAAATGAATAATATAGTATAATAATTTACCGATTGTGCAAATAATTCCAGACAATCTTACAAAGCTTGTTTCGGCATTGATATCCAATGCACACATTTGTTCCAAATGAGATGTTGCAGATTTGTTTTGAGTTTTGACATTTTGATGCCTCCTACTCATGGTTTCTAATGATCTCTAAAAAATAACAATAAATAAAAAATAAATTTAATAAAAATTACTCATGCTGCACACACTCGCAATTTGACTTATAACAAATTCAATGAAAATTTACATTAATTAATGTTATAATAATAATAATAATAATGCTAATGATTATGTAAAACAACCATTCCCTTACATATTACATACCTTTTTAGTATTTAATTTTAGGTAAATCAAAATTTTTCAATGCAAAAAAAAAAAAAAAAAAGAAAAAAAAAAAAAAAACATATTTAGCCAAGTTAAAAAAAACAAAATCGAAAAAAAAAAATAAAAATAAATTGGCAAACACATTAGAAACTAAAACTTTAAAAAAACTATTTTAATAATATATATATATATATATATATATATATATATATATATATATATATATATATATATATATATAAATATATAAACAAAAGCAAAAAAAACTATAAAATAAATTTTATTTTGTCAAAAATTATTAAAGTGAAACACTAAATACAAAGCTGTAAAATAAAGCGTTTAAACAACTGGAAAAAAAAAAAAACTTTCGCTAAATTATGCCATTAAGAAAAGTGTAATATATAAAAAAAAAAAGCATTTCTGTGCTTGGTTACAAAATTTACACACAATTTAAGTGAGTATATAAAAATCTAAATGGCATATAATACCTCAACATCATATTGTGTTGGCCAAACCATAATGATTCTCTTTAAATTTTTTCCAATATCAAATAAATATCTTCCTCTGGCATGATAAATGATATAAAAAGTATAAATAAATTATAAAAAGAAAAGAAAAAATTTGTTAATAATTATTTGTGAGATATTCGCTTCACATACTTTTCGATTTTAATAAAATTTTATTCTTACCTTTTTAATGCAACCATTAAATTACAGATAATAATAATAATTTTTTTTTTTTTTTTCAATTTAATGTTGTTGAATAAAGTGTGTGAAGCATTTTTTAAATTTATATAACATTCACAATTATATAAACAACCCTTTTACCCAAAAATTATCAAAAATTGGAGAAAAACTAAAATGAACAAAGATTTAATTCACACATTGATTAAAAAAAAATTTTTTAGCCCCCTTTTTTTTTAATTTAATTTAATTTTAAGATGAGAGAAGTACCTGTAGCTTTTTTTTAATTTATAATATTAAATAAAACTAATTTAAAAAATAATACCTTGATTAATTCAGATTTTAATAAATTTTTCTTTATTTTTTATTGGTAAAATTTTTGGTTAAGAATTTTCATGTATATGAATATTAAAAAAAAAAAAAAAATATTTCAAATAATAATTAAGTGAATAAAATTTTTTTTTTTTTATTTCTATTTAAAATTTAATAATTTAAATGATTAAATAATATTAAGAAGAAAATCTTAATAATAATAAAATTAAAATAATAAATTAACTTACAAAATTAAAAAAAAGATTCCTCAACTTTGACAATAGGGCAAATAAGTCACAAAGGACTTCGTTACGAAATTAAAAATAGTTAAATTATGTCAGCGCGTTACCTTAAAACTATTTTATTTTCGTTATTTTTATTTATTTAAACTTATTAATTTTTAATACCTATTAACCAAAAAAAATTAATAAAAATTTAATATTGTACGAGATATTTTTAATTTGAAATATTTTTTATTAATAAATAAATAATAATAATCAAAAAAAAAAAAATTAAAGGAATATAATAATGTAACGCGCCATTTTCTTTTTTTTTTTTGAATGCGTTGCCTAATCGACATAGACCTGACAAAATGTTTTTCCTTTTAATAAATAATTTTTTTTTATTAAAAAGATTTTATTTAAATAATGATAATAATGATAAATAAAAAATTTAAAAAATTTGATAATTATTATTATTATTTAAAAATAAAAAGAATTTTTCAAAAGGTTAAAAAAGGTTAATTTGAAAAAAAAATTTTGATAAAAGAAGAATAAATATAATAATAATAATATTATTAATAAAACCACGTGACTTTCCGACACATATAATTTATTATCCAGGAATTTTAAAAATTATTTCCAGAAAATAAACAACAACAACATGGCGATTTTAAAGTTTATCCAGTTAATAAATAAAAACAAATAAATATTAATAAAAACAAAAACAAAAACTCGTAATTAATAAATAAATAAATATTACGTTGTAGAAAATGATAAAAAAAAGAAGTTATCTGATGACACGGATCGACCTTTGACCTTATAGTAAAAAAAAAAAAAAAACTAATCAGTTAATTAAAACATTTAAATAATAATAATAATAACTAACGAAGGTTTAGTTTTAAAAAAAAAAAAAATTTCCCCTTTAAATATTTATTAATATTTTTTTTTTTTTTTTTTTTTATTAAAGGCAACATCGTAACGCGCACGCGCACACGAACGCAAAAAAAAAAAAAAACGTTATCACTTATCACACTATACGATGATTATAATTAAAAATGACACAATTAATTAATCGATTTGATGATGATGATAGAAATAATTGTGTCGAGGAATTAAAATGTCGATCGAATATGTGACAATTTTAATATAAAAAAAAAAAACTTCTAGAAAATTTATACCTTTTTAACCTTGAAATTAATTTTAAATTCCGACATGTTTGAATTCTTTTTTTAATAAATAAAAAATCCAAAGTCAATAATGTTAAATGTGGAGGGACAAAAAAAAGACAAACCGATAAAAACTAGTTTTTACCAATTAATTAACTATTTTAAAACTAATAATAATGATAATGATATTTATTTAGTATACAAAAATTTTACAAAGAGTTTTATCATTATCATTATTATTATTATTACGTAAAAAAGAGAGGAATTTATGCTTTTTTATCACATTGAGAGATTTTTTTTTTTTTTTGTTAAATGTCTATGTAGTATGCTTTCAATGCGAACTTGCTTTGGTTTTAATCAAAAAAAATTATTAAATAGTAAAAACGTATTAAACTCTCTCTCTCTCTCTCTCTATCTATCTTTCTCTCTCTCTCTCTCAAATGTTGTCGAGTGTGTGTGTGTGTGTGTGTGTGTGTCGAGAGCAGTAAACAAGTTATAAGTTGTGAGTAACAAGTTTCTTGTAATTTTAAACTAAGGTCAATTGATTGATAATATTAATTTTTAAAAAAATTTTTCTTTTTTTTTTTTATAAATAATATCTTTAAGAAAAAGAATAGAAAAAAAAAAAAAATATGGCTAACGGAAAAGTTATGAATTTTGGTGCTGGACCAGCAAAATTACCAGAAGAGGTAAATGATTAGTATTATTATTATTACATTTTTTTTTTTAATAAAGGTTTGGTTAAGCCTTATGTTATTATTATTAAAATTAAGAAGAATTTGTTTAAGAAATAATAAAGTAAATTGAGAAGGTTTGATAAAAAAAAAAAAAGGAGAAGGAGGGGGGGAGGGAGGAAAATTTGTTGTGATTTTTTTTTGGTGTATGTTTCAGGTACTGGCTGAAGTTCAAAAAGAATTAGTTAATTATGGGAATACATATATATCTGTTATGGAAATGAGTCACAGATCATCTGATTTTAATAAAATAATTGAAAAAGCTCAAAGAAGTGTTAAGGAAATACTTAACATACCTGATAATTATAAAGTATTGTTTCTTCAGGGTGGTGGTACTGGTCTTTTTGCTGCTGTTGCATTAAATCTTATTTCTAAAACTGGAACTGCTGATTATTTAGTTACTGGTAAAATATTTTCTGTTTAGTTAAATAATTTTGTGCCTTGTTTTAAATAGAATTACGAAACGTCGATCCAGTTAAAAAAAATAATTTTGATTGAAATCGAGTTTTGTCGAAAAAATGCCCTGAAGGAGAGAAATTTTTTTTTTTTTTTTCTGAACGTACCTAAAACGATTTAATTTTAATTGGAATTTTTTTTAAGGTTCTTGGTCAGCAAAAGCAGCTAAAGAAGCAGCTAAATATGGTAATGTTAATTTAGTTTTACCAAAAACTGACAAATACGAACAAATCCCTGATCCCTCGACATGGAAACTCAATCCGAACGCTTCTTATTTGTATTTTTGCGACAATGAAACGGTTCACGGTAAGATAATTATTTTCGCCATTTTTTTTTAACTATTATAAAATTTAATTAAAGAAAATTAGTTAAATTAAATTAAATTATGTTTAAATTATTAAACGACGATAAGGAGTCGAATATCAATTTACGCCGAAACCGTTGGATGGTGTTCCACTTGTTGTTGATATGTCATCAAATATGCTCTCTAGGCCAATCGATGTAACCAAGGTGAATTATGCAAAAAAAATTTTTTTTAATTTTATTTGTTTTTTTTTTTAGCCATCAGTCAAAACAAATTAAATTTTTTCTTTTTTTTTTTTTACCAATTAGTTTGGCGTCATATTTGCTGGAGCGCAGAAAAATATCGGTCCTGCTGGTGTTACTTTGGTTATAGTCAGAGATGACCTTTTGGGAAAACCTTTACCCATTTGTCCAACGGTCATGGACTTTACAATTATGGCAAAAGATAATTCTCTGCATAATACTCCTCCAACTTTTGGGTGATTGTTTTGAAAAATTATTAACAATGACCAAAAATTTATCTGAAAATAGAAAGAAAAGTTTTATCCTTTTTTTTTTTTTTAGAATTTATGTGGTTGGAAGAGTATTTGAATGGATAATTGCAAATGGTGGTGTTGTCGGAATGGCTGACAGAGCGAATGCAAAAAGTCAAACCATTTACAGTATAATAAATAATTCGAATGGATTTTATACTTGCCCTGTTAATAAAGACTGTAGAAGTCGAATGAATGTGCCATTTAGGATCAGAGGTGGAGATGATAAACTTGAACAAGAATTTTTAGCAGGAGCTCAAAAGCTAGGAATGATTCAACTTAAAGGTCACAGGTAAGTAATTGATAAAATTAAACCGATAAAAGTGTTTCAATTACAAAATTAATAATTTGATAATATTTCATAACAGGTCTGTTGGAGGAATAAGAGCATCGCTTTACAATGCAGTGACATTAGAAGAAACAAAAGCGTTAGCAAGATATATGTTAGAATTTTACGAAAAACATAAATGATTGTTTTGTTTCTTTTTGTAAAAAAAAAAAATTTTTAAAACATTAACTCATTAGTATGTTAATATTTATTATTATTATTTTTTTTAAACAATATAAAATCATATTATTAAAAACCTGTTTTTTATTATTTATACACTGACATAAAATTATCATAATAAAACGATATTATTATTAACAATTATGTAATTTAATTAGAAAAATAATTTTTTTTATTATCTAATATTATGTTTCTCGAATAATTTGCTTAATTCAGATTCAATTTGTTGATTTGTACCTTTTAAACCATTGACAACTTCATAAGCCCATTTGAAATATTCTGAAACTCTTTCGGATGTCCATCCGACAGGAGTTTCCCTATCCAAATCTCTTAAATTATATAATTTATCTGCAAGTTTAACTAGTTTAGCTTCCCTTGATGATGATTTTGAATTTATTATTTGTAATTTTTTCCTTTCTTCCTTTGGTAGATTTTTATCATCTGTACATTCTTTTACTATATTGGCAACTTTAATACCAAAAATTGAAGCAATTTCTTCAAGGGTCGTATCAGTGTCTTCTACTGTATCATGAAGAAGAGCTGCTTGTAAAATATCTAAATCGGTTATGTTTCCTTCGTTTGTTAAAATGTAAGCAACACCTGAACGCATAAAATAAAATTATTGAATATCACAGTGAATAAAACCAAAAATTAAAGTAAAAATAATGATAATATTTACATAATTAAATGATTAGATATAAGCAACGTAGTTTAGTTGTGTGTCCTAAATAACCTCTCGACATGTTTTATTTAAAAAAAAAAAAAGAAAAAAAAAGGCAAAAAGCAAAAAAACGTTACCGATGGGATGATTAATGTAAGGTGTTTGCTCTACATTTTTCCTTTTTTGAAAACTGTGTTTAACGGCGGCAAAATTAACACATTTAACAAATGCACTAATAGAATTCGAATCAAAAGCGGCCATCTTTATTTTCGTTAAGATTGGCAACGACATTTTTTTTTTATGTTAAAATTGGCGCCAAATCAAATTTTAAGCGGTTTTTTTTTTATTTTAAATTTTTCATTCGAAATGTAATAAATATCTTTTGTTTTTTTTAAATTATTTAAATCTTTTAACGATTTATTAAAATAAATAATTTTAAAATTTTTCATTTGCTTATTCTTAAATCAGTTATCAAAAAATTTTTATATTTTCCAAAATAAAGTCAAAACAAAAAAACTTTTAGATAAATAAAATGGATTTAAAAAATAAAAATAAAATAAAATGTCTTACATGTAAAATAATTTAAAAGAAAAGCACAAAAAAACAAAAAAAGTTTATAAAACAAAAGAAAAGAACCATCGTATCGAGTTTTCCAGAATAAATATCTAAAATGATTGCATTTTTTCCCGTAAAAAAATTATTGGCGCTGCTGTCGATTTTCCTTAAAATCCATTGAAAGCTTTCAACCCTGCATTTATAAAGCGAGGTTTATTATTACACAAAAAAAGAAAATTTTTTTAGAAATAAATTTAAGTTTAAAAAATTAAAAAAGTTACAAAAATGGCTTTTTTTATAACATTTGTTGTGTCGTGATAAAAAACGAATTTGTTTTAATTAAAAAAAAAAACAGTGTTTAATGATAGAGAAATGTGAACGTTTTGTACAAAATTCTTTTTTTTTTTTGTTGTTTGTTAATGAAAGAAAAGTGGATTTGGGGATTCGTTTAATTTTCTTTTTTTTTTTTCTGATTCATCCTCGTAACGGTTAAAATGATTAACTCATAACGCGAATAAAAAAATAATTGAACGAAAAGGATAAACTCATTTTTACATAATTTATTACATTATGAATAAAAATTTATAATAATAAAACAAATCTAAAGTAATAAATACTAATAATAATAATAAAAATGAAATGAATTTATTAATATTAGCAGGTATTTGATTTTATATGGCTGCCTTTAGCCCATATGGAATCTCATAAGAGAAAAAAATCAAATTCAAAATTCGAAATGAATAATTATTTTTTATTTTACGCGAATGAAAAAAAATTACCGGGGAAAATTTTAAACAAAGAAATATTCGATAATAATAATATTTTTGTTAAAAAATCATTAAACGATGAAAAAACAATCGAAAATTTAATAAATAATAATAATAATGATATGAGAGCTTCCAACGACGACGACGACGCGAATATAAACAATTCGAGTGCCAATAATAATAAAAAATGGAAGAATAAATTTAATAAAAATTTAAATGTAAATAATTTAAATAGTGCTCAAATAACAAACAATAATAATAATAATAATAATAATAATGATAAGAGTGTATTAAAAAACAGTATTAATAAAAAAGTGCCTCATCAAATAATATCTAAAAAATTTTTTTTATTTAATTCGACGAAAATTCACCACATATTGAAAAAAAGGAAAACGTCGGATGTTAATAATAAAAAAATTCAAATAGATAATAATAATAATGATAATAATAATTCGACGAAATATGAAGAAAAAATACAAAATAACGAAAGAGATGACGTCAAAGAAAATGATGATGTTAATGATGACGTCGTCGAGGAGGAGGAGGACGAAGACGACGATGACGATTACGACAACAGCACGGGTACGTCGCCAAAAAATTTTTTTTTCTCCTCTTCCTCCCCTCCCCTTCCCCTCCGAATTTAACCTTTGAACTCTTACCCTTTATTTTCATTATTATTATTATTATTATTACATCGTTCGATTCACGTGAAACGAAAAAAAAAAAAATTTTTTTTATTTTTATTTTTCGTTTCACGTTATAATTTTGAAAATGGCGTGTCATTCATTATTATTATTATTACGTTACAAAAAAAAGAATAACGTTAACCTCTTGCACACGATGTATTTATTTCTACCCCTGACCTTTCACCCCACCCCTCCCCCTCCCAACTTATATCTCTCATTTCCCACGACACACACACACACACGATTACCCATATAAAATTACATTGCGATTGTAAAATTAATATTTATAAGTACGTAATGCGGTAACGAATATTTTTTCTTTTTTTTTTTTTATGTAAAATCAAAAAAATAATAATAATAATAAAAAGGAAAAGAGTAATCAATCAATCAACCAATCGGTTAAAAATTACAGTGGCGAATTATGACGTCACATTTTTCTCACGTAAAGATTTGGATCCATTAGGAGGATCCATAATAATCGGGAACGAAGTGAAAATCGTCGTCAATTTTTCCGTATTTTTAAACGAAAATAAAAATATTTACGTAAATTTGTTAAAGTAAAATTTATTTTTATGTAAGAGAGAGAGAGAGAAAGAGAAAGGATTTAAAAAAAGAAAGAAAGAAAGAAAGAAAGAAATGGATGCAAAAAAAAAAAAAAAGGAAAATTGTGAATGCGTAAAAAAGAGAAAATGGGAAAATCAATATTGTTAAACATCGTGGAAAAATAAAAGTTGGCGTTTTTTATAGATAATGTTAAAAGGTGAAAGAGATGATAATGCGGAAACTAATTTTTTTTTTTTTATCCTACCACTTTTCTACCGCCACGTTTTTTTTCCCCTCCCCCTCCCCCTTTTAAATATCACGCTTTTTTTTTTAAATTTATGACTACCGAATAATAAATTCTAAAATTAATTTTGATCGATCGAAAAACTTGAAACTTGTTTTTATTGGTAAAGTTTTTCAAAAAAAAACAAAAGAAAATAATGATAATAATAATTGCGTGCGAATAATTATTCCCCTCGCTTCCCCACCACAACGAATAACAACTCCATTCGATTTATTTCTCTCCCCCCCCCCCTTTGAAAATCCTTTCACGCATTTTTACTCATAACAAATCATGTTTTTATTAAATTTGACAAAAAAAAAATTTTTTTCATGTTTTTTTTTGGGAAAAACAAAATTTGATGACGTGTGATGACGTCACGAACGAATAAAAAAAAAGTTTTTTTTTTTTTTAATCCCTATTATTATTATTATTTTATTTTTTTAACAAAAACTTATCAACAATAAAAGAAATTCGTAAACAATTTTATTATTATTATTTTTGGTAAAAACTTTCGAGAATA